GTAGCTTAATTATTTCCTGCAAAGATCAATGTCATGTAGAACAACGTGTAAGGTCTTAACTATCATATTCAGCTGTCTGTAATATTCTGTAATTTCCTTCTTTATCTGTTACTCTTTACAATGGGTCATGAGATGAGTAATTTGGAAGAAATTCATACTATGCTAGCCAGTACAGGTCAATAGAGAAAAGGCCTAATTTTTATTTCTTTTCTTTCCTTCCTTTCTTCTTTTTTCTTTTCTTTTCTTTCTCCTTCCTTCCTTCCTTCCTTCCTTCCTTCCTTCCTTCCTTCCTTCCTTCCTTCTTTCCTTCCTTCCTTCCTTGCTTTCTGAGTTTACCTATCAGTTGACTTTATAAGAAGGGTATTTGTGTTCATTATCCTGTTGAGACTATGTAATTAAAAATATCTCTGAAACTACAAGAGTACAGCACATAATAAGAACCTGTTAGACTTTGCATTACATTAAGGAATATTACTGCCGGGCAGTGGTGGTGCATGACTTTAATCCCAGCACTCGGGAGGCAGAGGCAGGGGGATCTCTGTGAGTTCGAGGCCAGCCTGGTCTCCAAAGCAAGTTCCAGGAAAGGTGCAAAGCTACACAGAGAAACCCTGTCTCAAAAAACAAACAAAAAACAAAGAAAGAAAGAAATATTACTAATAACACTATGAAGCTAAGAAAGATTTATCTAGGCTTATAGTTTCAGAAATTTCAACACATTGCCAGCTTTCATCATTTTGGGCTAGTGGAGAGATAAACTATCATGACATAAAGAGGACATGGTGAAGCAAAGTTGGTGGAGCACATGGCATCTAGGAAGCCCAGAGAGAGACAGATTATTTGTACTCATAAGACTTCTGCTACTTTCCACCCAGGACCCTAGCCTAATGTATGAAACCATACACATATGCCACAGCAGCTTCTTTAGAATGTTCTCTAGTTTTCCGTGTCTCTAGATTGCCTTATGGCCACTGCATCTTCACTTGTCAGACCTATCTTCTATAATGAGATAGTGATAGATAAGCAATTTCCATCTCCCAAGACTTTGCTTCCTTCTAAAAGACTAAGTTCAACTTACATTTTATGCTTCTAATCATGACTCTTCAGTTCTGGTACATATGTAGAGCACAGGAGCAAGTCCACCAGTTCATATTTTCTCTACTAGAGAAAGGTATACCATTTGATATCTGGGGCAGAATAATCACCCAATTTAGGAAATGCTAAATTATTTTCATGTTCATAACTCTATATTCAAATACAGCCACTGCTGCTCAGGACTCCAAATGAACTTGGGAATATCATACATTGATTTTCTTTCACTAAAGACCAGCATTTTATAAATCTGGAGGAGACCACCATTTCCATCTCTTCCTTCAACAGTGAACACTTGTTAGGACTTTGTCCTACAACAGAAACATAGCACCTGGCATGCTTTTAACATTTTCTGAAGAACTTTGCTTTGAGGTCAGAATAATTCTTGTCATATTCTTTGAGTGACCTCCTTTCTGTTTATTTTTTAGCTTATCTTGACTGCTTTAGCACTTGACAAACCCACTTGACATGACAGTCTCCGTCACTGAGATCCTGGGAAGTGTGTTCTACTATGGATGTGATCTATGCTGAATCCCTGGCTGGGAGAGACACTCTAAAGAGAAACACTGCAGACCCACCTTTCTAGGTCTATTACCTTTACACTGACAAAATTAGTGCATTTGTCAGATGTGCAGGAATGGTGAGATCAAGAATGCTTACAAAAAAAGTGTTGAAAAAATCTTCTACTCTTCAACAACATCTGCCTGACCTACAGTTGTTGAGGATCTTATAACCTATGAAATTTGTAGCTAAATAATAGCCCACAAAGTCTGCAAAAACAATATGTGTAATAGAAAATGGGAGGGAACAAACTGGGTTTCTGCTGACCTTGTCCCTAGGAATACACCATGATTTCCTATTCTCAAATTCTTATTTCTCAATGATGTATCAAGGAAGAAGTTGTTATTGCTTACATTGAAAGGGAACACAGTTCATCATGGCAGGGAAGATGAGATGATTTGTTTCATGACTTTTATAATCAGGAATAAAGCTGAGATTAATGGTGATTTGTTCTTTACTTCTTTTATCCTTCAAATTCAGTCTTAGTCACAGACCATGGAATGGTGCTGCCCCACAGTTATGGTGGATCTATGATAACCAAGTATAGAATCTCCTTTATTTTCATTCTCAGATGTTTGTCTGCTAGGTGATTCTTGCTCATATAAAGCTGGCATTTGATATTAACTGCCATAAATAACCCCTATCAACATGACTCATGTCATACCTCAAGCAATATCTTTATCCATCATTTCTCTATAAGCTCATGAACATGTCTTAAAGCAAATATGTTGAGTACATTTATGAATCGTTGTAGTCTTTCAATATGAACACTGTTTATAAGTCCAATGTCTGCTCTGAGACTTGAAACAATCTCTTAAATGTGTGATCCTTAAAAATTAAATCCCAAATATAGTTTCAATATATCATATAACAAAGGAATAATGCCATTCCAAAAGTGAGGAATGGGAAATCAAGGAATATCAAGACAGCAGATTTGCTGTTTTGTCCATGACTGATAGCTGTCCTTATCACGGAATCATTTGGCTCTAAAGAGCTTGAGTAGCTAATCGCCACCAAATATGTTGCCTGTGGCACAGATAGCCTTCCTCATTGTCGAGTTTCATTCTGTGTCTTCAGCTTTACTCCATGCACTGTATAATGAATTTTACATGTCCACTACTCTGATCTCTCTATTGCAATTTAAGTTCCACCTCCACTCTACTACCCAATAGCCTTTCAAACCTCCTTATGCGGACTGCAAACCCATCACACATTTGCCTGGCTTCAGGGGTGCTCTGTAACCTTGTGGTAAACTTAAAGGGTGCTGTCATTCTTCTATCTGCCGTTCCTGCAATAGTAATGCCACTTGGACAATGCTGTCAAGTTCTCCAGCAAGGTGGGCTCCTTATCACAACTTCGATCACTAAAGGGCTAATGGTCCAAAAGCCTAAGCTGGCAAGGAATTTGGATACCTTTTAACAGCTGTGGGCTGTCAGGCTCCAGGAAGCTCCAAAGGAAGTCTGAAGTGGTGGTGTGGCCTCCTAAGCTAAGGGCATACTGATGCCAACTGCAGGGTGCTAGGATCCAGGAGACTTCTGTCAAGGAAGCCCAATGGAAGGATGAGGTCTCAGACACTAAAGAATTTCCCTTCTTCTGAGTAGAACATCCACCTCTCCCGATAAGTCCACACTAACCTCCATTGGCAATTTCAACTTTGAGATTGCAGGAGAATAGACCTGCAGGTAGAATATTCCATGACAACAATTCTCACTGCCCATAAACCCCCAAGGTCCCTGTGCCATATGCTCACTGTCCTTGATCAGTCCCAATTTAACAATTGCAGTCTCTAAGGTGATTCTATAGCTACCAAGTTGAGAGAGAATACTAGTTAAAACAACTCCATATTATCTCAATCAAAATATAGTATTTCCTATAACATGCTTTGTTATAAGCAACATCTCTCTATGGGAGAAACAACTGAAAAAGGCAGTCATATTTTTACTATTTATCATGAGGTATCAGCTGTTTTTTCTTGTGGTCAAGGCTGTTGTTTTTAAGCATTCCAATTGATGCTGAGTTCTATTGAAGTTCTACTTGTTTGAATGTAGCAGGGAACACAGGGCCTTTCAACAGCTTTGATGAACATCTGCAAGGGTTCCATTGTTAAAGACTGTACAGATATAAAATCCAATGTCCTACAGACTTGGAGGAACTTTGAGAAGGAAAAGAAAGATAGCAGTCCAGAATCTGAAAGCACCTACCATACCAAGCATGGTTGAAAAATGTAGTAGGTAAAACCACAGGGTTTCTAAAGAATTCCAAGGCCAGGTTACTTAGCTTCCTATGAGCTATTCAACAGTGAGGCCCTGGTGGCCATCTATGTAGAATAACCTATTGCCAGTGGATTTTATATGAACTGAATTAAATATTAGAGATAATAAAGTAAGATAGATACCTTATGTTCTGGTTGCATGATAAAAAATTGTAATGGGGTGAAAGATTTCACAGTACTGACTGATTTTCATAGTGCCCCATGCCACTATGCTGGAGAATAGTGTGAAATGTCAGTAAAGGACCTGTTCAACCCAAGTTAAGGCAATTATCAAACTGAGACAGATGTTTTGACTCATTCCCTGTTAGTATGACTGTTGTAGCTGAAATCAAATATATTCTAGTTAGCTTTAAGCCCAATTCCATGGACTGAGCTGATGCTTATAAGCCTGGCTGAAAAATTTGTGGCTGGAGATGTTCTAGGTTCTCCAAATGGAGACTTTTGATATTGTTCTGTTAAGTTAATCTAATTTCTCTACCAAAACAACCATCTAGACATCTGTATTTGCATCTTACATTACCATTCTTATGTGCCTAATATGGAAAAATCACAATTCACCATGTTCCTTGGATGTTGTTAAAGATTTATGAGGATGAAACTGCTCAGTATAGGTGACTTTTACTGTGGCTCTCTTCCAATGCTACAAAATCAATGAAATATATATGGCCTCCACTCAAGTTTCACTCAACATTTCAGAGGAAATGATCAAATTACAAAAGGAGCTAAAGGAAAAATGAAGGTCTATGACATAGCTGTTAAAGTAAAGCATGAAATTGTTATCAATGTTTATGAAGAAGAGATAGCTGTCGTTACTCACAACATAATTTATTTTCTACTTCCAACCTTAAAATAAGATAAACAGTACACATAGAACTATCTTTGTGCTCATGGTAACTAGACTACTTAAACCCCTGAGGGGAACAAATAATGGGAAATGATACTTCCTTTCCTCCTTAGGGAGGAGGCCTTAGGGATACTATGCTAGACCATAAAAGAGGTGGAGAGTTAACTGGAGGCAGGACTCCAGTGAAGTGTCTTCGCTGAGTCAACAACCAAGCCGTGGTGGGACTCTGCAGCGATGCCACTGTCTTTGACTCAAACATGCTCCTGTAAGTAACCATTTCCCGAGTTCCTCCTAGTGAGCTTAAGCCTTGCATTATATTGCAAAGCTTGTTTAGACAGTTTACTTTTCTAGTGTTATACTTTTCTTATCATGAATAAAGGACATTAATTAGTGCTTAACCAAGAGAAGCAAAGCCCGATGGATCTGAGAAATACTTTCCAATCATTATTCTAGAAGCAAATGCAAAGTGCATGTATGGATCTGTGTTTCTCAAAGAGGAATAACCTTATCCCAGAGTCATGTAGCAGTGTCTAGAGATACTTTGAATTATCTTAGGTGACTCAAGTAGATAATATGAATATTACTAACATCTTTGTAGCAGAAACCATGATGTGTCTTCAAAAACCTTGAATAGTCAGGAGAGATCTACAACATGAAATGATCTATCTCAAAAAGCCAAAATTTCAGAAAAATGAGACACTTGATGATGACAACACCACATGAGTCTGTGGATTCAATATTTAGGACATATAGAATGAAGAATATACCATGTTTGGGTTTGAATAGAATGAATTCAGTATTATTTTCTATGTGAGGACATAATAGACGAGTCTAGGAGAAGAATCTACAAGGTTTTGACAATTTAGCTCTAGTAAAATATCCTTTCAAAATTGGAAAATCTGCTAATATCTGCACTGTTTCTTAACATAAAGTAAACATAAATTCGATTACATGAAGTAAAATAGTAAAGTCAATGGCTCCTTGCACTCCTTTTAGAATCCTAAATGAAAGAGCAGTATGTACACTTATTCTAAACATAAATATCTTTTGTACATAAAATTAATTTGGGGAAGCAACATGAAATTTTTTGTATTCAATAGGAATTACCTACATAGAATTACTTTCATTTTGCATATAGTTTTTCTGGTATGCTAAGTTATTTTGAGTATTCAAATTTAGATATTTTTCATGAATAAGCCTTTCCAATTCCTCACTTTATAGTATACATTTCCAATCGCATTTATCAAAGATTTTGTACAATGAAAGTTTTCCAGACTGGAATTACCAAGGATAAATGAATTCTGCATTTTGATATCTACATCTTGCTTCATCTTCTTAAGACAGGAAATTGTTGATATGCTAGCATGCTGTTTTTATTTATTGCTGAACAACAAAAACAGAAACTCAACATTAGTCATAGCTAAAACTTCAAAATTTAATAGTGGCTGTTTTATAGATAAAGAAATTAGATAAATCAAGACTAATGGGACTTCTGGGTCCATGTGCTCAAAGGTAAAATTTGTGACTTACAAGTAATAGCTTCTGTTGATACTCTGTACCAAGACTTGGTTCGGCTGGGAGGTGGTGGCGCGTGCCTTCAATCCCAGCACTCAGGAGGCAGAGGCAGGTAGATCTCTGTGAGTTTGAGGCCAGCTTGGTCTACAAAGTGAGTTCCAGGACAGTCAGGGTTACACAGAGAAACCCTGTCTTGAAAAACCTAAAACCAAACTAAAACAAACAAAACAACAACAACAAAAAGACTTGGTTCTACATGAAAGCCCAATGCACATAAGATATGTCCACATATGGCAGGATTTCCACAGTGCTGGCATTCAGCCTTCCCCACCAGACACTTTTAAAACTACAGAACATCAATTATACTTGTAAGGCTTCCCTTTCATCAAGATAGTTTGATGATATTCCACAGGCTCCTTCTACTCATAGGATTACTGTAAACAGAAAGTTCACAGAGAAATCAGTTACAAGCTTTGAGGTAAGTGTTGAATGGGATTATTATCATGCGTGAGTGAAGTCAGCACACAGAATCCTTTTTATAACAGGATTCTCTTCCTCCTCAGGATTGCGCAACAGACAGTCATGTGTTTATACCTACCAGGCAATAAGGCACAGTAAAAGAGGTTGTGCTGTCCTTGTAAAACTGGAATGTTTCCATGGAGTGCAGGACAAAGTCGTGCAGAGTGTGACAGCTGAGAATGCACTTAAGTGTTCAAGACACTAACTTCCTACAGAGAATGACTTCTACTCACTCACAATTAACATAAGATCTGAATGTTTGGAAATTTCAGAATCATATCTGATAGAAATCCAAAGATGTGGGAAGTCATCAAATTCTCCAACTGTATTTGTTCAAGTTAATTATTTAGTGGCGTTTTCACAGTGGAAGATGTTTATTCACTACTACTGTTGTACAGCGCCAGATCATACAAGGGACGTCAATGGGCAGAGATATTATTACTGTTGATAACCTCAAATGAATAGCTCTCAACAGTTTCTGTTTCCATGAAGCAGGGCCTCTCCTGATGCTGTTGGTGTCAAACCTCCTTCTGTGGGAGAAAGTGGCCTCTGCACCCATGAATGTCAGTGAGGCTGGCCTTAGTAAAGTGTCCCTTAAGGACTTGTTTGATAATGCCACCGCACTGGCTGAAAACATCACTGAACTCGCTACAGAAATGCGCCTGGAATTTGTAAGTACCTCACTAACTCCTGGCTTATTTCCAAAAGAAACTTCCCAGCAGATGAGTTCATTGAATTACAGTTTAATAGGAAGCATTATGCAACCAGTTCCTAACATGCCTTTCAAATGTAGAAGAAAGTCTAAGGTACTCAAAAGTGGAACAAGAAGAATGGGGCAGTTCCGTGAGATCTCAAAGACTTACAGGAACATTCAATAGTTTTAATTATTTGTAACTGGAGAGATAGCTCACTTGTTAAAAGCACTGGCTGTTCTTCCAGAGGACCCAGGTTCAATTCCTAACATCCATGCTGAGGCTCACAACTCTCTGTAAGTCCAGTGGGTCTGAGACACTCTCACACAGATACACACAGCCAGAACACCAATGAGCATAGAATAAAAAGAAATAATTATTTGCCTCTACATAACTATTATAGAAAACACACACACAAGAAAAACTTTTCCTAAATTTTCAGTCATGACATAAATACCTGGAAGATATATCTGGTGAAGAACTCAGACTTCTTTACCTTGTTTGTGGCAGGCCAGTCTCCAGGGCATCTTCAGTTAGCACACATCAGACATTACAGAGGATAAATGTACTTTGAGGAGTTGAAGGGAATGAATAGAACTAACCTAAACTTGTAAGGTGTCAAGAAGGGAAATAGATAGATTCCCTTCTCAGAAACTCCTGGGGTTAAAGGTCACTTTTTAAAGGTTTCTAGTGCATGAGTTTATTCAGTGGGAGGACTGAGTTAGAGGCAAAAAACAGGCTTTATGTTATCTATGTCAAGGTCAATCAAGAAGGAAACAGTAGACAAGGCTTCAATAACAGGGATACCCAGAACATGTATCTCCACATTTGCAATAAAATGTATTCATGCTGTTTACTCACACATTTTATTTCACTTCTCCATTCTGTTTTAGTTCCACGACAAGTTCTCTTCAAAAATATTCAATAAAATTGTAAGTACCTCGACTGATTTCCCTCTTCTTCCCCCCAAAGCATCCATGCTAACGATTGCACTGTAACTTAAAGGAGAAAGCAGCAAGAACCAATTCAAATAAAACACCTCCACAGGTGAAAGGAAGTTACAGCCACTATAACCAAATGAAAACGGGACAGCTTCTGGGAGTATGGTTTGCAAAGGATAAAATGATTGTTCAAGTTATTCTCAAATTTATGGTTTGTTTTTAAATACCTATACTTATGGAATAAAAACATAAGAATTTTGACAAGAAAATAATTTTGATTATATATTCAATAATATGTAACCTTAATTAGTATCTTCTTATGAATTTCATCATTGCTTACTATTTCCTAAAATGGCCAACTTATGTTTTAATTTTATTACAATTGACACAATTTTATTCAGAATTTATGAAACTTTGAATGATATAGGTGTATATATTCATGTGAAATAGAAAGAAAATAGATAATGTTATAGTGCCTAGTTTAAAAAAAGAATTTGAACTAATAGCAAACAAGAAATTACTAAATAATAATACACAACTTCTACGACATTATGCTTAAGTCACACTGAAAAATGATCTTTAAAATACTCCAAGTTTTCACCTTTACCATGTTTAGGGGTTCTCTTCATATTATATAGTACATTTTAAGATTAATGACAGAACAGTAGAATACCAAATAGGAAAAGAAGATGGTATATTAGAAATTTAGGGGAAAAGTCGTTACTGACTTAAATTGAATATTAGGTAAAAGAGTCACTCTCTTAATTTTAGATTTCATGCAATGTTTATTTATAAAAATTATACTTCTATTAAATGTATTAATATCCTGGTCATGAGTTTATGTTTTCAATTTTTAAATTGCAATTGACTCAAATTTCCTCTTGAATATTTTCAGATACTAGATTTGAGCAAGAAAAATAAAATGGCAGAGCTCGTCAACAGCTGCCACACTCTTCCCATCAAAACTCCGGACACAAAAGAGGAAGTTCGCAATACCACGGTGGGTCCTCAGCTTTTCATGTAAATAGCTGAAGTAGGGCCCTGGCTTTGCTATACTGTAGCTTCTTATGACCACTGACAGGGATGTGGTTATCAGAAGGGCAGAGACGACAAGTAAGAGTGAGCAGTGAAATGAAAACCGTAGTATATACTTGATAAATTATAAAGGAAATCAAATATTAAATAATATTGTAGCAGATATTTAAAAACTGACCACTTAAAAGATCTTATTTTAACAAAGTATTGCCACTGGGGATTGACTTTCTATTCCATAGGAAACTTTGAACTGAACATCTAGTTTTAAAAACAAATTCATGTATATGCCTAAGAGAAGCAAACATCAATTGTCTTTATTATAAATTAATAATGTCTCCGCATTGATAAGCTTGTCACTACTGACCACCAAGCAAATTCTTCTTGAATTCCAAATATTCTGGTACTATATCTGCTTCTTACCTTTGTATCCAAAACTCCTTGACTTTATAATTTCTTCTGTGTCTTAACTGAAATTACCTGGACAAGGCAGTCCTATAAATACTATCTACTGCTCCCTGAGAGGAAATCATTTCTTCAGTTGTGATGAGAAGTTCTATACGTCACAACAATTCTAACTAAATTTTGTTATGACCTCTCCTTTCATACCCACAGCCATAATTTACCCTCCAACTGATTAACTTAAACATTGCTTAAAAATAGTAAAGTGAAGCCAGGCGGTGGTGGCGCACGCCTTTAATCCCAGCACTCGGGAGGCAGAGCCAGGCGGATCTCTGTGAGTTCGAGGCCAGCCTGGTCTCCAAAGCGAATTCCAGGGGCGCAAAGCTACACAGAGAAACCCTGTCTCGAAAAACCAAAAAAAAAAAAAAAAAAAATAGTAAAGTGAAAGGAGGGTAAGAAGGAGACATAATGTTTCTGAAGACCTATCCTATTGTAGACATGTCATAGTTTATTGACATGCTTCAATTAATCCTCCCAAAATGTAGCTCGGATAATGAGACAGATACTTTGAAATGTTTTGCGGAACTTCTATCTTCAGCCAGCCCAGTCGCAATGAAATTTTGATCTTCATCAAACTCAAGCTCTTATTCATATGCTCCCAGCAACTTACATTGCCATAACTTTTTCACCTGTTCCTTTTCTTCATAAACTTCTCATGTTTCTACTATTGTCCATTGAATACTGCTGTGGTCTTCATTCTTCGTATCACTAAATTAGTTAAAAGACATCAACACAGCAAACATCTTAAATCAGTCATGAGGTTCAGATACAATCCTGATAGATACCGAAAGGTCAAATTTTAGCTGTGGTATCTATGCATGCAATGAGCCCCATGTTCTTCAGGTATACTTGTCAACAATATACTGTTCTGTTATAGACAAGGGGAGGGAATGTTGTAGACTGAGAAACCATATTTATTAATGCCAGATTGTCTTCAAGTTCCTTTCTATTAATATCCTAAAGTTCATAATGAGTATTTCATAAACATTCTAGTTCACTGGTGTCATAAATATGAGTTAAATGATTTGCAACTGAAACTGGTAATGTCCATCTTTCTGATTCTAGTCCAGTGGGCACCTCCTAAGTTCAAGAAAGCCTTAGAATCTCATGGATGAGCAAAACAATCAAATATATAATGCCCCATAGGGAAGGCAGATGGAAGAATTTCAGACAGAAAACAGAACATGTTCAATAATGTAGTTCACAGAAACTGTTTTTTACATAAGCTGTTTCATTTTTTTGCGAAGTATAGGTGAATATTTTAACTTTTACATTGCTACATCATTTTCTTCTCAAGAAAATCACACCTGTCCATAAGAATAGCAAATGGGGGTGTTAGATCATGCTCTATGATTAGCAGTCATGTGTAACTAACTAGTCCTTCCATATTTGGCTTATCTTAATATGATTGTTCAATAACTATTAAATAGATTCAAGGCTTTTTGAAACTGTCACTCAGTATACTGCATGCCTGGAAAGACCCTCTGAAACATCTAGTGACAGAACTCAGTGCTATGCCAGAAGCACCTCATGTTATCCTATCAAAGGCCAAAGCCATTGAGGCCCAACACAAAATCTTTCTGGAGGAGATCGTGAGGATAATATCCAAGGTGAGCAATTTTCTTACCCTCCAATTTTCTGTTTTGGAAATGATGTGACTTCTGTAGTGAATGATAAATTTTGAAACACTTGATATTGCAAGAATAAGTTAGGCATCTAACCTTGAACTCAGCCTCTCCATTGTAAGATAGACAAAAATATAGCAAGTTCTCCAAGTCATTTGGCTAGGTTCTTTCCCGGAATATCTTCTCCGTAGAGAAATATCCCCAAGTACCTCATTCGATATTCTTATCAGAATCACTCTTGGCCAAAATGCTTCTTTAGGGAAAGAACTATCACAGTTCCTCCATTGTCCCTTGATCAAACACAAGTCTATGCTCAAGTAGCAGAATCCGGGTGTTCCATCTGTCTAATTGCAAGTGACATACTTCCTCTAGCATCAACTAAACTTTAAAAAAAGATGTATATAAGTCTTGCTTCTAGATGACAAAAAGATTTATCACGTCCTATAATAGAAACATGGAAATCAATGTCTGTAACTGGAACTTCACATTTTTAACATTTCCTTAAGTATGATTCAACATTTAGAAGGGGAAAGGTCAAATGAATACAAATAGTGATAATAAGTAACTGTCATTTCTGGTCAATAGGTTGATCCTGCAATCCAAGAAACTGAAGACCCCCCAGTCTGGTCAGATCTGGAATCCTTGAGGGCAGCTGATGAAGAAATTAGATTTTTTGCTCTTTATTTGTTTTCATATTGCCTGCGTCTTGACCTACGAATAGTTGAATTTTATGTCAATATCTTGAAATGTATCCTTATAAATGGTGACATCTGTTACTCATATTTTGAGCCATTAATGAACTTCTAATTTTTAACCTTTTGAATGTACTTAAGTGTAATGTGTCTATTATTAAAAGGAGACACAAAATATGTCAGAGCATAGAAAGAAAATTTGTTGCTATCTTTTATTCATTTAGTAATAAATGTATCAATATCATTGAGATCTCCCTATCCAAACCCAAGATGTTCAACTAGCAAAGGGAAAAATGCATAGCTTACTTTAGAACCACAGTAAATTAATGTGGACAAAGTCAGTGAATGAGATCACTATTAAAAGTACAATAATTCTATTACAGATTTGGAAATATTGGTGTACTTTAAGAGATTTGGCCATGCCTCTAAGGCAACTTTCATAGTACAATGCCGGAAAACAAAATCACCATGAAGCTTCACTAGGACTAGGTACTAAGAACTTTTTGAATTTAGATGGTTAGGGTACAAACATGAAATGGCTATTTCTCATCTTATCATTTTCAACAAGTCTTCTCTGAATTTTGTCTCCTTAGCAACATCTTAGATATACTTAATCTATTTTCTTCCCTCTATGTCTCTGGAGTTTCATTTGGTCTAGTTTCAATGTCTGTTATTTAAACGAGTTAATATATTGTCCCCATTCTCCTGTGGTTCAAGTCACACAGCAGGGAAGGCTGAGGTCATCCATTCCTACAAAAGGTTGCTTCCTTCCTACTTGTCTATATCTGTTCCTTTGACTTAGGATGAGGTAAAGAAATAGGAAAGAGGAAAATTTACCCATTACCAACTTGTGTGGTGAAATCAAAGACTGACTGCTGAAAAGGACTTTTTAAAAATGTTTTTCTTTTTATTGAAAATAGATTTTTTTCTCAAATAATATATCCTGATTACATATTATCCACATCCCTTATCTCTTCCCCATTCCTTCCCTATTCTCAGTTTCTTCTACCTTCCTTCCCATCTGGATCCAGTCCCTTTCTATCTCTCATTAGAAAACAAAATTAGAAAGCAAACAGGCTTCTTAGGGATAATTATTAATATAAATAATTAATATAATAAAATAAAATAAAAACTAACACACAAACAAAAATTTTCATCACATTGGATGAAACAAACAAACAAACAAACAACAAAAAAGGAGCCGAGCAGAAGTCATACAAAACAGAGGCCAACTCATTTGCACACTCTGGAACTGCATAAACACATTAAACTGTAAGGCTTAATATATATACAAAGGATCAAGTACAGACTCCTGGAGGCCTAGTGCGTGCAGCCTCAGTCTCTGTGAGTTCATATGTTCTTTGATCATGCTGATTTACAGGGCCTTGTTTTCTTGGTGTCTTCCGTCCCCTATGTCTCTTACACTCTTGTCTCCTCTTCTCTAGAGTTCCCTGAACCTTAAGGGGAAGGATTTGATGGAAACACCCCATTTATAGCTAAGTGTTCCAAGGTCTTTCACTCTTTACTTAATATCTGGCCATGGGTCTCTGTATTTGCTCCCATCTGCTGCAGGAGGAAGGTTCTCTGAAGATGGTTGAGCAAGGCACTGATCTATATGTATAGAAGACTATCACTAGGGGCCATTTTATTGGTATGTTTCTCTGGGTTTTTTTGTTGTTTGTTTGTTTTTGTTTACTCTTTTTAGAACAGTAGTATTGGTTTTACTCTAGGTCCCTAGGTCTCAGGTTCTTGATCACCTAAGTAATGTCAGGTATGGGTTCCATCTTATGAAGTGGGCCTTCAGTCAAACCAGATATTGATTGGTTATTCCCACAAGCTTTGTGCTACCATTGCCCTAGCATAACATTCAAGCAGGATACCATTATAGATTAAGGGGTTTTTGACCAGCTTGGAATTTCTCTTTTGGTGGCATTCAGAGTACCTTCCTGTACTACAGATGCTAGAACATAGTTGGAAGCCTCTCTGTAGGCACCAGCTCAACTTCTCCATGTTCAATGAGTTGTGTAGGTTTTGTCTTCAGCAATGGGGCCTTGCTGTTTGTTTGTGGGGAGCAACCTATAGTCTTGGCAACAGCCTGGATTGTTTGGGTATACCCATGGAACTTCTTTGGTCAACAATTCAATTTGATATAACCCAGTCCCAGCACTGGAATCTGACAAGATCTTCATTTGATTTCCTTCTCTCATGGGACATAGTAGTGTTTTCCCCAGATACCCAGTGAAGGGCATACTCACTCAGAGAGATTCCCTAGTTAGATTATTTACCCACTCCATAGCTCTACCATGAGACTGTCACAGGTCCTCTCACTCTGAGTGCATACTACTGAAGAAAAGTGGCTCAAAGTGTGCTTTTTACCAACTAACACAGGAATCCCATACATCGAATCCCATCAGCAATGGAGTGGCAACAACAGAAAGTCACTGCTGACCCCTTCCTTAGGTCCTGATAATTTTCTTCTTTTAACATTCATATAGGTCCAGAAAAGATAAGAAAATCACACAGGTATCCATAAATAAGATATCATTCTTCCCTTAAAACTAATGAGTACATTTATCTAAGAAGAATCTCTTGAGAATCACTCACCCAGACATTTCTTAGAAGTCTATCAATACTAATATGACCTCAATACAAAAGTAAGACAACTAATATTCCATTTACTCAGTCTGGAGAGTTGTGATCATTTCAGGAGAATTCATCTTGTCAGCTGACTTTAAGCAACCAATGATACAGGCTCACCTCACTGTCACATCTCTGTAAAGAAAAGTAGATTGCCATGCTGTATTTCCAACAAGTGTTGGGGATTTAAAAATATATAGAGACAATGAGAGATTGTCCAGTCAGCATCTTGATAGACACAAAAGGAAAAGACTTTGATGGGCAGAAGAAAATGGGGTTTTGAGGCAGAAAGCAAAGGAAGAAAAGACTAAAAGAAAGGAAAGATGTAAAAGACAGATTATGAAGAACAACACACTGTTATAAGCCTAAACTCACAATCTCAACGTATCTTGCTATTTAGCCCCTCCTAACACATGTTACCAGATCTTTTCCCCCATGCCTTTTTTCTTCTCTCTTGCTTTCCTGAAAGTTTCGTTTGCATTAGAAGTGTATTTCCTTCATCCATTCGATTACTTGAGCCCTAGAGAGAAACAAAATGAGGCCACTCTGCAGATCAGAGTTCATAAAAAATTTATACTACACAAGAAAAATTCCTGATGCTTTCAGACAGCTGTTCAGCCAAACCAATTGCTTTCATCATAGGTGCTGGTATCAGAAACTTTCCTGTGCCTCTGTCTAGGATAATTCCTATTGTGTAGTAAGTCATTATCCAAACTAAACTCTCAACCCATCTTATCTCTTGAGTCCATGGAACAATGTGGTGAGATCCATGTATACTTCATATCTGAGTTACTGTTTGTCCAATGCATCTAACTCTATGCCACTTTTCATCTTACTGTCTTCTCATCAGTTTATGCATACGTCTAAACAAAAATATGTTAATTTATCAGCAGGGGATACTTGAAAATAAAATACATCTCAGTTTCATAAAACATAAATTTCACAGTGTTATGTAAGTTCCTAACAATATTGAATTTTAGACTTCTGGTAAATCACTCAAGTGTGGTGGTAAGAGGCCTCTGTTCAATAGTGACATTTACCTGAAATCTAAATTTTAAGATAAGATTCACTATTCACTATAGCTATTGCTGTCACACCTAATTCTGCAAAGAGTAGCTAGAAAATATATTTCAGAAAAAAGATAATAGCCACTCCTGCTTTAAGGAGGGCTAGTATACTATCTAGTGATTTCCATTGAAGATGACAAAGGAATTACAACAGTGGTGTCCACACAGAAACAAACCAGACTTAGAAAGTGATTGATAGGATAAAATAGGAAATTAAACATCCTGAGCACTACATATACCAAAAGGAAAGTTAAAAATACCTTTCTTTCAGTAGGTTAGCTGAACTTGTGAGGGATACAAAAACATGTAAATTATTGTACTAATGACAAGGTAAGGGATACTGCTAAAAGAAGCTACAAAATGAATCAGAAAACAGCAAGTAAAACCAAAATTTTGCCAAAGTTTCAGGAATGTGATTGTTTAAGTTGAAGTTTTGAAGGTTTGATAAGATACTGGGTTCTCAAAATGAGAAGACAGTATTTCTGCCAGTTCATCTACACTCATTCTATAACATAAGTATATTTTAATTCCCAGGGAGAAAAACTGAGTTTTATTATTATAGGGCATTAGTAAGCAATTAATGTTTTTTTTAAGCAGATATTGTTTTTTGCTATAGGTCCTGTTGCAGGGTGATAATGTGTTTTGCATTACAATGGATGGCATAACAATTTTGAGTTGGAGCTCCACCTGTGATATTAAGGGAAGGCAACACATTTTACTGCAAGAAAGCAATACTCCTAGAACTCGAAAACACAAATGCTTATCTGGTGTGAAGGGTTATGAGAATGGGTAGCTGGGACAAAAAGAAAGAAAGAAGATGTTAAAAACCCAGTTAAATACAATGCTGTCACTAATAGAAATTCGTAAGAATAAAACTGAAAATAATCATGATTGGAAACTAGGAGAGAGGCTGAAGATAAGTTTCTGGCCAATTTTACTTGAAATTAATTTTTGTGTATGGTATTCCCTTTACACCCACTGAAAGTGTTCCAGCTTAGGTGTGTCACATACTTGATTGAAGTCAAATGGCACTACTAAGTATGTGCTATGCCAGAAGAAAAGAGTTTCTGCTACTCAGCAATGAGGAGGTATATAAGTCACTCATCTCTTCAATGAGTTTGAACTAGATAAGGGAAACTCTTTCCTTCAAATCTTTGTTCAGTTTTCTAAGAGTTTGTGATTCCTTATGATACAGTTTGGATCTGGAGTATCCCTCAAAGCTCATGTTTAAAGCCTTGATATCCAGGCTTTGGAAGTATACTGAGGTGATGAAAAATTTAAAAGATGTTAGAAGCAAGTTAAGTCATTGGTGTGTGCCTCAAAGAGGAAATCTCTCTCTCTCTCTCTCTCTCTCTCTCTCTCTCTCTCTCTCTCTCTCTCTCTCTCTCTCTCTCTCTCCCTCCTTCTCTCC